AACTATTCAAGCTGTTCCAGAGAAAAAAGAAAATGGACAACTGTCAAATTATTTTTATAAAATGGCTATATAGTCATCATGTAAAATGACTATACACACACATACACATACCAGTTATAAATTTTGAAGTAAAAATCCTAAATAAAATAATAGCAACAGAATCGAACAGAACACAATAATATAACATGATTCAGTAGGGCTTACTCTAAGAATGGAAAGATGGTTTAAAATTGGGTAATCAACTAATTAACATAACTCATTCTATTAATAGATCCAAAAGGAAAGTTACATGATCATTTTCCACAGATGCTAGATAGATATCTGGGAAGATTCAATATCTAATCTTAGGACAACAAAACAATGAACACTTCCTTGATATGATAAAAACATTTATCTCACCCTCCCCCCCACCAAAAAACATATCTATCTCACCCCTAAGCTAGTACCTTACTTAACAGAGAAACAATGACATGTCAGGGACAAGGGACAAGAAAGGATGTACTGGAGGGATCAGCCAAAAATATTAAGAGAGATAAATTAGAAATGTTAAGAATTGAAAGGGAAGAGATAGAAATAAACTACTTCTGACTTACGATTCTCTTAAAGCTTCCTAGGTCTGCCAACTAGGTATTCAAGTTTCCTAGGTATGCAAGTACCAGAATTCAGTACAGCATTAGGAAAAAAATAATCTAAGTAAATGCAATTATGCAAACACCAACCAGTTCATTAAAAATTATAGAGGACTCTATAATAGCAACAAAGAAAATGCCCAGGAATTCATAAAAATTGTTTAAAACCAAGAAATGGAAAAATTTTAAACATTCCTTAAAGACACAAAAATATACTTGATGAAATAAGAATATATACTGTGAGTCAGGACTTAGGAAAATGGAAACCACATTATATATTTCAAACAAGAAATTAACTACAGGGAAATGATTACATGGGGAATGGAAGGCAGAAAAAGTAAAAACCCTGATGCAACTCAGACTGTAGGAGGATGCTACCCCTCCCAAGGCTGAGGTTACAAAAGGTGAAGTTTTCTGAACCTTATCTTAGAGACTCAGCCTCCAGAGCTGTCTAGTGAGACCTCTGAGGGTAATCCCCATCCCACCCCTGCCACTACTGTTTCTGAGTGTGATGGGCCTGGTTCTGGTTATGCCAAAGACATCAGGAATGCCACAGCCTGGAGCCAACCACTGCTGCTGGAGACAACTACTATTTGCAGAAACAATGGTGATAGATAAAAACCCAGACTCTCCTGCACCCCTCCATCCTCCAGGAAGGCAGAATCTAACAAGCCAGTGTAGCAAAAGCCTGAGGAATGAGGTTAGTAAAACCTGAGACCCAGCATCAGAGTTTAAGAAGGTGTTTTGAGGGGTGCCTGGGTGGCGCAGTCGGTTAAGCATTCCACTTTGGCTCAGGTCATGATCTTGCCATTTCTGAGTTTGGGCCCTGCGTCAGGCTCTGTGCTCACAGCTCTGAGCCCAGAGCCTGTTTCAGATTCTGTGTCTCCCTCTCTCTTCCTGCCCCTCCCCCACTCATGCGCACACGCTCTCTCTCAAAAATAAATAAAAATATTAAAAAAAAAAAAAAAAAAGAAGGCAAATTTTGAGTTGAGAGAGATCAAATAGTCCAGCTCATCCTTTCGGCTTTTAGTACACATGTGTGAACTTCTATAAAACGATAATAACTATATTTCAAGGTTCCATTGAATAAGTTGGAATTATCCTTTATACAAATGAAGGCACTTTTCTCCTCTCCCCCAAAAGGGAAAAGCACAGTCCCAACAGTAACTGTATCTCTCTCTGAGTGATATTAAGACCTTTTCTACTGATATCACAATTCCTTAAGAACTTAATGTTCAAACTACTATTTATGGATTTATTTATATTAAGTAAACTCTACCCTAATATAGGGGCCCAAACTCACAACCCTGAAATCAAGAGCTGCATGCTCTGCTGAGACAGCCAGGCGCCCCTCAACTACACAGTCTATTTTTGTTCATAAGAGTATCAGGAGGCATCCCCCAGAGAATTCCCTGGGTTCCAAATACAGCCCTCTCTGAGCCCATTCTGTAGCAACAATTTTTCCTTGGCAATTGGGATCAGTTACCTCAGTTAGTTGAGTAACCGCTTCTTTCCCTGCTGGTTCTGTAGTCTGAGGAATCCCAAAGGGCCGGGTGTTCATCTCATATTCTTAAAAGTCTGTTATGTCCCTTGCTGGAAATACGCTATCTCTGAGGGTCTGTTTCTTTGGAGTTCCCCTGCTACCAAGTACTCATTAGTTAGGGTCCAGTGGACTACACTAGGTAGTCCAAAAAGAGGGTATTTACCACAGAGAATTCCTTTCTGAGGTAGTAGAGGACTAAAAGAGCCAGTGTTTAACACTAAATTAATCCAGAGACAACAGTAAGAGACAGCTACCATCTACAGGAAGAGGTGAGGGTGTAAGGACCTTGGAACTTGGAGAAAATGCCCTTGAAGAGTCGGTGCTCTGCTTGTGAGGAAAAGCATCACTTTCCTGTGAATGTCAAGGCAGGCTTCACAGACGTAGTGATAGTTGAGATGGGTTTTCTGAAGGATGAGTCAAGTTTACTAGGCAGTCTGTTTAACCCAGACTACTTACACATCTACATTTTAATTAGGCCTGGTCATTTAGAAATAGTTGCAGGGCCTACCGCTTTACCACATTAAATTTATCGGTGACTGTGTAAAAACATAAATGCTACAATGTGGCCAAAAGTAGCAAGATTGAAAGCCATCCTTTCCTACTTCTGATGTTGGTTTAACGATAGACACTGTCTGATAGAATCGTTTCTTTGACCAGAATAGCATACATTTATGCTTGTATGGACAAGGGCATCACCATCCTCTCTGAGGAAAGTAATCAGAATGCTTATAAAGGGATCAACTTAGTTACTTCACATTATTGCTGGAGCAGGACGGTATCAGATAATGGGAAGTCTCTGGATCATATCTGGGCGCAATGTCTCTTCTTTCCCTTTTTTTAGTGCTGCCCCTATTTTCCACAACATAACTTTTTTTTCCCCTAAAGTTGGGAAAATGTTACTTGGATGCTAAAAAGGAAGTGGGTGGTAGTGAGGACAAAACACAGGAAGGACTCTTCAGAAGCAGAGAAAAATGCAACAAGAATTCACTGGTATGAGGAGCTTATTTTGGGGTCTGTGGACAGACTGGAGTGTATATATTGATGCAGTAATCCCGAAACAGGGACTAGGGACTGTTAGGTAAGACTGCAGGGGTCTGGCTGCGAAGCAGCTGGGAGAACATATACCCACAGATGTACTCTGAAATACATTTGCTTCATTAAACAACAAAAGTACAGAAAAGAACAGCTCAGCTTTGACCAAGTGAAGAACAGAAAACCAGAAAAACTCAGCTGGAGAGGCACAGGGGAAGAGGCAGTGAAGAACAAGCTGAGGATTTTAATTAAAACACACACACACACACACACACACACACACACACAGAAAAACCCACCCAAACAAGAGTGAACAGTACTAATACCAAGCCCTCTCAAGTGAATCTGCTGATGCACAGACTGAAAAAACCAGGAAGGGCAAAAGTCCAGTGGGGCTCAACATCACAGCTCTGGAGAGTAAACTACACAGTTTAAGATTCTCAATGCTGTGGGAATGCAAACTGGTGCAGCCACTCTGGAAAACAATATGGAGGTTCCTAAAAAAACTAAAAATAGAACTACCCTACGACCCAGCAATTGCACTATGAGGCATTTATCCACGGAATACAGGTGTGCTGTTTCGAAGGGACACATGCACCCCCATGTTTATAGCAGCACTGTCCACAATAGCCAAAGTATGGAAAGAGCCCAAATGTCCATTGATGGATGAATGGATAAAGAAGATGTGGCGTGTGTGTGTGTGTGTGTGTGTGTGTGTGTGTGTGTGTGTGTGTCTGTAATGGAATATTACTCAGCAATCAAAAAGAACGAAATCTTGCCATTTGCAACTATGTGGATGGAAATGGAGGGTATTATGCTAAGTGAAATTAGTGAGATAAAGACAAAAATCATATGACTTCACTCATATGAGGACTTTAAAAGACAAAACTTATGAACATAAGGGAAGGGAAACAAAAATAATATAAAAACAGGGAGGGGGACAAAACAGAAGAGACTCATAAATATGGAGAACAAACTGAGGGTTACAGGAGGGGTTGTGGGAGGGGAGATGGGCTAAATGGATAAGAGGCACTAAGGAATCTACTCCTGAAATCATTGTTGCACTATATGCTAACTAATTTGGATGCAAATTTTAAAAAATTAAAATTAAAAAAAAAATCAACTCAAAAAAAGTAAAAAAAATAAAGTTACCCTGATAAAGAAAACAGAGAAAGACACTAAAAGAAAAAAAATGTACAGAGCAACATATTTCATAAATGCAGATGCAAAAATCCTCAACAAAACATTGGCAAATTGAATTTAACAATAAAGCACTGTGACCAATGGGGTGTCTCTCAGGAAGGGAATGTTGAAAAGCAATTAATGCAAGTCACCATACCAATAGAATAAAAAGGAAAAGAACAAATAATAATTTATGTACCTTAAAAAAAAGCATTTCACCTAAGTCAACATTCAGCCATAACAGAAACTCTCAGCAAACTGTATAAAAGAGATTTTACAAGACTTCATAAGGAGTATCTACAAAAAAACAAAAACAAAAACAAAAACAAAACAAAAAAAAACCCAAAAACCTGTCAGCTATAAGCCTACATACTGATGACAAACTGAATGCTTTCTCCCTAAGATCAGCATCAAAGCAAGGACGTCCATTCTCACTATCTCTATTCCATCTTGTGATGGAGGTTTAACCAGTGCAATAAGACAAGAAAAAAAAAAATAAAGCCATTTAGATTAAAAAATAAAAAGATTCTCAATGCTGTGATGCTTGGGTACCAAAGGCTTAAGATAGAGAAAAATTTAAAGGTGCAGCCTATGCTTGTCCTCTGACTTGACAGGAGATTCAAAGTGCAGAGCAGATGAAAAAGTGGAAAGAGAGGCTTGAGAAAAAGTATTATTCTTCAGAAATTCAAGATGACTACCAGCCTGTCACGCAACAAGAATTTCGAGAGTAAGTATTTGTTCTAACCAGGGCACTCTGGGATATCATTATATGGTGACTGGGGACATGAATTACATTATTTTCCCGAAATCAGAACCTTATTCTGAGATGCCACCCCCTTTTTTTTCATCTTTTTACTCAACTTTGAAATTAATCAGAAAGCACAATACTCCATTTGTTTAAATGTAAGGTAAGAGTGAAACCAACTGCTTTTACTCTTACATCTCCAAATAGGAACTGCCATTTATATTTAAAAAAACACTTTTTTTTCACATTTATTCATTTTTGAGAGATAGAGACAGAGTGCAAGCAGGGGTGGGGCAGAGAGAGAGGGAGACAAAGAACCTGAAGCAGGTTCTGGGCTCCAAGCCTGCACAGAGCCCTACATGGGGCTTGGACTCATGAACCTGAGATCATGACCTGAGCTGAAGTTGGACGACTGAGCCACCCAGGTGCTCCCCCTTTTAAGTTTTTTAACGGGAACTGCCATTTATATTTAATATGCACAGCAGACCCTGTTCTCCACTATTTTAGAATATAAGATCCATAATTGGCCCTACTAGGCATGTTTTAGAAGCTTAAAGTATTATCTTCCCACCCCAAGTACTTCACAAAAGGCACTAATAACCTGCTGTCTCTCTATGCATGAAGGCATGTTACTGACCCATTCTCTGCTTCCTTCTAAATTATCCTGCAGACTCTTTTTATATGCCGTGGAGCTGGAGAAAGAATTACACTACATCAGTTTAAAACTAAACCGAGTGATGAGAAGGATTTCAGCTCTACAAAATTAAGACAAGTGCAGGTGAGAATCTGTGATACAATCATTGAGCATTTGTAACAAAGATTTATCCCTGTACTGAATTATTTCCTAAACATGTACACACTTCAGGTACACTTTAAAAACACTGTACCACCTATCATCAAGCTATCATCAGAGTATAATTACCAAAATGATTTCACCAAAATATTTCCAGAAATTAAGTACCCCTGAATGGGCCCCACTGTGCAATCCAAACAGCACACTTCCAGAGTATACACACCGGTACATGTAAATGATTTTATAATGAGATTTATTATTAAATTCTAGGAATGTGGAGTTAAAGTATCAAATGCTGCATATAGTTCATGGGGCAGGTCTCTAATAGGTCATAAGCAGTTTTCTCAATGTTACCTAGAGTATAGGAACCGTTAGGTGTTTTTATCATGTACCATGTTATAACTTGTCCTGGCCATAAATAAATTAATAAATACCTATGATTCTGGAAAACCATTATATAAGACCCCAAATAAAGTAATCTCACCTCCATTCCTCCCAGTTTGAGGTCATCTAGAAAAAGCTAAAGTGTACAAGAACAAACTTACCAATCATCTACAGAATTTTCACTAATATTTTCAAACTGGAAATTCATCTAGAAAGATTCTAAAGTAACACATTTAAAGTTTCCTAAGTATTTCCTCAACTACTCTAAAAGCAAAATATACTGTAAAAACAAAGAGCAAGGTAGGAGTATCAGAGTTATGAGAAGTCAACTTAATGTATGAGAAATATGAATGAGGGTGCCGCAAAACCCGTCTGAGTGGTCGTAAAGTTGTGTGAGGTAACTCTTCTATATTTTTAGCACGTTACATAAGTCCTCCTGGAAGAGCCATATGTTCTCTTGGCCCAAACAACATCATCTCACCATCATACTCAATTTCCACATTGGTGCTCAATGGATTTTAAATCTACCCACCTTCCTCAAGCCAGCCATGCACGCTCTTTTCTTAGAAACTGTACCTCAAGTATGCTTAATAGAATAATTCATTCCAACAAGAAATGCTGACTGTTCTCTCTGCATCTTCTAGACTTCCACAAGGCATTTAACAACATGGCCTTCCCTAGTCTTACCACTCCCCAGAGCTGTAGCCAGCCAAGTGGCTTAGTAACCATGTTGTCCCCCCGTGGTCCCTGAATGAGGTAATTCTAACAAAGCCCAAGAACATTAAGGCAAAGAAACACTTGAGGTCTCGATTTTTTGTCTTTTAACATCTAGTGAAAACAAAAAACATTTACAATGACTTAGAACATTCAAGTTCTTTTATTACAAAAGTCTATACAATGAAGTGCCAGACACAGCAATGCGATTATACTGGTGGTCATATATATCTATATATTATTTGTATATAGATATACTGTTTTTACTTGTACCAAAGTAAAACTCATCACAAACTGCCTAGTTCTACCACCTACTGCTCAACTATGACACACAAGTACTGTCACATAGAGTAAGTGCTGCCATGCTACTTTTATCTATTCTACTCGCAGCCAAACATTAACAGTGAATAATCAACACCATGAAGCAGCTGTTAATTCTAAAATGAAACTAGTCAGGCCACTGACTTATAAAAATATGGTACTCATATAGATTTAGCATTATAAAGAAGGAATATATTATTTAAAACATTTAAATAGTGCATATGGACATTTTTGCATGTGGTATATATAAACATTCATATAAAACAATACACAGTGCACATTAAATTAGATGTTTGGATACACTCCTGTCTGGAGACTGAAAGAAATAAATGCACACTGCATGCTGGATTCAAATCAAAGTGATATGATACTTGTTTTGGCTTTTTCAATTTCATTTTTCTAGGTATACGTTATGAACAACCTAGGCATACCAAAAGGAAACCACACAAAAAGGGCTGGATTTAGTGCTTTATTCCCCAGTAAAACTACATGTTCACCACCAATGAACATTCCCTCCCCCCGAAAAAGGCATTGCACACATAGGTGAAATGTGAAACACTAGAAACACTACTTATTATCAAGCTACTTCATGTGCTTACTATGTAATAGTGCTGCAAGTCTGAGGTTCGTGCTTCCCTCACTTTTATTAAAGAATGTTGCAGAGGTCCATTTTTACATGGAACTGTTAATATTAGCTAGTTAAGAAAATCACGCATGAGTCAATGCATGCAAACCATGGGCACAAAGTGAGACACTCATCAATCCAAAAAAGCACCAAGAAAAGAATTAACACTTAGATTAAGCCTGACCAGAATATGCTATTACTACTGTTAGCCCAAATAAAGTCACCATTCTGTGAAAACGATGAGCAGAATGATACCAGAAGAGTACTTGAAGGAAAGCCATGCAAAGCCAAAGAACAAAAAATCAGCTTAGAGTATGTGACAAGGGCATACCACTAGACATCTTTGAACACCACTACACAGCTGCTTTAAATAGCATGTGCTGAGCCAAAGTGGTCCTGTTAGAGGATGTTTTCTTCACGGATTTTGCCAATTAAAAGAGAAAAAAAAAATGATGTGACCCCCGGAAGGTACATGTAAAAAATGCAGTGGTATAGCCCTTGTTAAGAACAGATTTGATTCACGCATAATGACTCTTTTGCCAAATTAGGCCCATCTGATTGAACACACAAATCTGAGCACCATCAGTGTTCCTACACAGACATGGCTATTTTCTCACATTATCTGGAGGTGGGTGGGAGGAAAAAGTACAGGATCTGATGCAGACAAATCACATCATCACCAGCTCAAAAAGAATAACTGAGGAAACAAACAGTAACTTATGTCCCATAGGCAGCATGTGAAATGATTCAGTTCTGTGTGTGATGTGTGGTGTGTGTGTTCACTATACTAATAAACAAGGTCACTTTTTGGTGTGCCCTCTGTTATCTTCATCCAGGAGCTGTGTGACCACTGAATTGCAAAATTTTGCTAACATATTACCTGTGAGAAACTTTCACTTTGGAAATTAAACAGAAATGTGTTCCACAGTAGGACTTGAAATTTCAGTTTGAGTTTGGTTTTCTAAGAAAACATAAGAAATAGTTGCATATGTGCACATTTATAGGCTTTTCTTTCAAATTTTCAGTCATTCTGTAAGAAAAAGGCAACCGAAGAATTCAATGTGAAGATGTTCCTCTCAATTTTCTTCAGTAATTAAAAAAATAATAATAAAAGCAAAGTTGGTAACAACAAAAAGCTTGTATCTCCAAAGTTCTTGAAGTTGAAAGAATAAAGTACTAGTCTTTTGCTAACAGGATGTATCTGTAGTACAAAACAATGAAGAAAACTGATGTTTGCTAAAGGTGAAGAGGACAGTCTGTGGTTAATATGGAACACCACGCTCCCTAGAGAGGGTCTACTTACCCTCCCATCATTCTCTAGTGGCACCACAACCAAGTACAAAGTGATACTTTCTGAGTGCCTGACAAAATTAACTCAAGTACCAGCCAAGTACACACGGTGATTGCTTCAGGGAATACAACTGATTTTTACGATGTTTTCAAGAAGTATATTTTATATGGATTTTGAAGAATCTTGTTTGCTGATAAGAACTTCAAGAAGCCTAAGTTTGGCTTTAATTTTCTTGTACTCCCTGTACTCCTCAAGCACTGGAACACGATCCTCCTTCTGGGCATTCCTAGGGAAGAAAATAAAATCTGTAATATTCTGGAGATCATCTGAAAAATAAAGTCCCAGAACTTGTCCTGATGTGAGACACAATGTTACCAAATGTAAATTCAAATAAAAAAACTGCTGGGGCGCCTGGGTGGCGCAGTCGGTTAAGCGGCCGACTTCAGCCAGGTCACGATCTCGCGGTCCGTGAGTTCAAGCCCCGCGTCGGGCTCTGGGCTGATGGCTCGGAGCCTGGAGCCTGTTTCCGATTCTGTGTCTCCCTCTCTCTCTGCCCCTCCCCCGTTCATGCTCTGTCTCTCTGTCCCAAAAATAAATAAACGTTAAAAAAAAAAAAAAAAAATTTAAACAAATAAAAAAACTGCTCTGCAAGAAGACAGATTACTGCACTAATTCCCCATACCCCATCCCCAAGGAACTATCCTAAAATACTTTTTTTGATGAATTTCTCTACTGACAGATTCAATAATGCTATACTTATCGATGTTCATTGCAAAGAACCAGCAGAAGCCAAATACTTTAGTAAGACACGCGCTGCTAGACTCTGTCAGGTCTGGAAGTGTATATCAAGTGCTAGAGGATTACAGTCAGTAATTTCATACATTTACTGTACTATGGCTTCAGTGAATTGAGAAGTAAAAGATCTTACCCACAGAAAAAAGCAGTTTTCTCACTTTATATTAATGACCCAATCCAATTCAGTTTAATCTCTAGGTAAAGCATCAAACCATCCTAAGTATAATTACAAAAAAGTTTTCTTCCATTAAGGCAAAGAATAAGAAGGTACTTGAAAAAATGCATTCTTACACTGAGTGTTTTTAATCATTTTTGCCCACTATATAGAAAATTCTCAAAGTAAACGCAGTTTGGAATTTGTAATATAGCTACTGGCTTGTTAAGACCACTCAGTTACATACATGGAGAAACTTTTCTGAGGTTTGAGATAACATTCATTTCTGTCCATCATCTGAACTAGAATGTATTTTTCTTAAAGAGTTCCACTGAGTCAACTGTGCCCCAGTTAGATAAAGACACATGCCATACTGTATTCTAGGAGCCACACTATTGACTGGCACCCTGTTGCACACCCTGAAAATGCGAAGCCTGGAATGGCCCAACATGCAGCCTAAGTAGCCACAGTCTGAGTGTAAGGATCCACACTAGCTGTCACAGGACCCTTTACAAAAGGAAAAACCTTTTGTTTCACAAACACTACCAAAAGGGTGAGGATGTAGAATTAAAAAACACAACTGCCACTCAACCAAGCCCCTCTAGAACAACTCTGAAATATTTTATCAGGTATTGTTCCCCTAGCTCTTTTTCTTGCCATTAATAGCAGGACTTCCAAGTAAAAAGGAATGTTTTCTACTTTTTTTTTTTCAATGATAACATGCTTATGTGCACAATTTATTTCTATTCCTACATATTCCTTTAATTTACCATATAAGCCCTTAAGTTTAAGAAGAAGGAAGACTCGGGGCACCTGGGTGGCTCAGTCGGTTAAACGTCTGACTTTGGCTTAGGTCATGATCTCATGGTTCGTGAGTTCAAGCCCCACATAGGTCTCTGTGTTGAGCTCAGAGCTTGGAGCCTGCTTCAGATTCTGTGTCTCCCTCTGTCTCTGCCCTCCCCCGCTAGTGCTCTGTCTGTCTCTCTCTCAAAAATAAATAAACATTGTAAAATAATTAAAAAAAAAAAAAAAAGGAAGAAGGAAGACTCAATTTTGTGATGTTCAACAAACCTTCCATTCTGTTGATAAAATGCTTCTTCAAATTCCCGTAACGTTTTACGTAGCTTCTTCTTTTCAGCTCTAGCTTTCCAAAGTTGTTCCAGTAATTCAGGCCTGAAATTTAAATGGAAAGAAAACATTATTGAAAGAACATTTTGACTCTTACCAGGGGTTCAAACACTGGCTGCAAACTAAAGGCACCTCTACAGCAGTATTTAAAAAAACTTTTTCCCTAGGTAATCTTAAAGTGAAGCCAGCGCTACTGTGGAAAACAATATGGAGACTGCTCAAAAAATTAAAAACAGAAGTTACCATATGATCCAGTAATTCCACTCCTATTTACCAAAAGAAAACAAAAACCCTAATTTGAAAAGAGATAGGCACCCTTATGTTTATTGCACCATTATTTACAATAGCCAAGATATAGAAGCAATCCAAGTGTCCATCAGTAGAGTAATGGATAAAGAAGATGTGGTGTACATAAACACACACACACACACACACACACACACACAGGAATATTACTGGGCCATAAAAAAGAAGGAGATCTTGCCATTTGCGACAACATGGATGAAACTAATGGGTATATAATGCTAAATGAATTAAGTCAGAGAGATAAAGACAAATACCCTATGATTTTACTTATATGTGGAATCTAAAAAACAAAATGAACAAATAATAGCGGTCTCATTAATACAGAGAACAAACTGGGTGGCTGTGAGGGAGGTAGACAGGTGAGGAGATAGACACAATAGGTGAACGGGATCTGAATGAGGCACAAACTTCCAATTATAAAATAACTAAGTCACAAAGATGGAAAGTACAGCCCAGGGAATGTAGTCAATAATACTACAATAACATTGTATGGTGACCACACTTGCTGTGGTGAGCACTGAGTAATATATAGAATTGTCAAATCAATATGGTGTACACCAACCTGAAACTAATAGAGCATGTTGGTTATACCTCAATTAAAAAAAAAAAAGAAAAAAATAAAGTGAAGCCAGGGCTGAAAACCAGTTACACACCATACCAGGGAAAGAAGCTGAGAGAGAACAAACCTAACTAGCTGATTCCTGTACTCCGTTATGAAGCAAATGCAGGATTTTAGTTTCTTTAATTTTTAAAACACAGTAAGTGATTTATAAATCACACTCTAAAAAGGGTCCATCTCTGAAGCACTACATTAATTCCCTCCAAGTTCTTGTTTACTTAACATTTACACCAGCATGTAAATTTTATTATACAAATAGGTTAAAATCACAAACCAGCAAACATACATAGAAGCTGCTCGAGTACTTGACAATCGGAGATCCAGAGCCAGTTTTTCCTGATTTTCTTCAACATCAGATTCAGAGTTTTCCAATGAAGACTGTGCCTGCACAGCAGTTTTCAAGATATCAGTTAGCTCAGAGGACAGAGTAACACCATCTTCTTCTTCTTCCTAAAAAGTTATTGAACAGATAAACAAGCCATGACTCAACTTTTTCCTTAAGAAAGACATCAGAGAAGGAATTCTCTTAAGGATTACCTTGATTTCTTCAAAAAAATGGGCAGTTTCTCCTTCTATGATTGGTTGTAACATCTGACCCCTTCGCTTGGTAGATGGAGATCCCTGTAACATAAAAATGGTTTACACTTTAAATATTTAAAGCATTCAAGGAAGCTTCATTCACTACGAACAGATATAAAACTTTTATTTTCAAAATCTTAACCACATGAAATAAAATTTTTAGGATTCCTTAGTAAATTTATTTTTGTTTATGTTTTCTTATTACGTATGCACAAGAGTGCTAAATGTTCATTTATGTCTGGATACTCTAAAAGAGCTCATTCAATAAATATTTTTTAAAAAACAAAGTATTACATGCAATTTTATTTGGAGCATTTGCCTTTTTAACAATAGCTGTCAATAGCTTTCATTTTCCCTTTTTATGGCTAACTGATATTCCAATATTTGGGTAAAGCACAATTTGTTTATCTATCAGTTGCTGGACATGTGGGTTTTTTCCTATATTTTAGCCATTAGGAATGATGCTGTATGAACAATTGTGTACAAGTTTTTGTACAGACATATTTTCAATTCTCTGAGGCATATACCTAGAAGGAGAACTGCTAGGTCAGATGGCAACTCTATGTTTAACCTTTTGAGGAACTGCCAAACTAGTTATGAAAGTAGCTGCACCATTTAACATTCTATCAGCAGTGTGTAAGCATTCCAATTTCTCCACATCCTTGTCAACACGGTTATCTTTTCTCATTAAAGCCATACTAGTGGGTATAAAGTGGTATGTGAATGTGGTTTATTGCATTTCCTAATAACTAATGATGCTGAACATCTTTTCAAGTGCCTAATGGCCACTTATAGATCGCTGAAGAAATGTTTATTCAAATCCTTTGTCCACTTTTTAATTGGGTTATTTAACTTTTTATTATTAAACTCTAAGAGTTCTTTATATATTCTGGTACCAGTCCCTTATCAGATACATGATTTACAAACATTTTATCCCATTCTGTTGGCTGTCTTTTCAATTCAAAATGTCCTTTCATGCACGATTTTCTTTTTAATTTTAATGAGGTCCAATTTATTTTAATTTTTTTTTTGACAGTGTTTTTGCTGTCATATCCAAGAAAACCCGGCCTGATTCAAGATTGCAAAGATTTGTTCTTCTATTTCCTATGACTTTTATAGTTTTAGCTCTTACAATTAGGTCAATGAACCATTCTGAGTTAAATTTTGTGTGAGATAAGGGTCTACATTCATGCTTTTTTTTTTTTTTTTTTGCATGTGAATACTCAATGGTCTCAAGAACATTTGCTGAAAAAAATTATTCT